TATATTATTATTTATTACCGAATATAAGCCTAATAGTAATTGTCATTTTTATTATAGAGTTTTACAGTAAAGTAAGCAAAATATAAGAAAAGTTTACTGTCACTCCTACGACTTCATGAAACGTGAATAAAAAAAGTATCAAGCAACTCATAAACTCATTAATAAATTATTAATACATATATAAGAAAAGAAAATGTTTAAAAATGACATTTCAAAGGAAAGAAAAAGAAGATTTTATTCGAATTAAGTGATAATATTATTTATAAAATTTGAATTTCTTAGATTTGAATTATGCGTTTACCTTGAGCCGTCAATGTTTGCGGCTGTTAGGCGTATGGCCCGATCCATGTGTTCCTTTAAGGAACTTTCGTCGGCCAAGCATGACATTCATAGTCGTTACGTGTATCCTGAGTTTTTATGTGATAATACCGCAGTTAATAAATATGATTCGTGTTTGGGGTAATGTGGCTCGTATGGTGGATGATATAGCCGCGGCCAATTTTAGTTTGATGGCATTGAGCAAGTTATTCGCTACTTGGTATCACAGCGAAAGTAAGCAATTATTTTGCAACAATAAACATATTGGACAATTTTGTTTTATTATCATAAATAAGATAAATGCTGGATTTTTTTTTAATTTACATCTAAGCCCGTCATTGTATAACATTTAGGTTTAGTATTTTGTATATAAAGATAGCTTGTATATATCACGCTTTTTGACAATTTATATACGAGGGTGGACCGAAAAGTAACTTGGTTCGTGTATTCGTTATGTGAGAGAGCGAGAAATATATATGTCATCGTATAATTCCATCGTTCTTAGGAACGCATATGAAGTTTGCTGCCAAATATTATTCGTTCGAATTATTTTAACACAAGCGTCTCGAGCGAAAGTGAAAATAGATAAGATTGGAATATAAGCCGTGATCCAGTTCTTTATTTGGGAGGGAAAACAGTTAAGAAGATTTATGAAAGAGTGCTTCCTACATTGGATGAATCTTGTTCTTCCTACGAAACCGTTCGATTTTGGATAAATAAATTCAAATGTGACAGAACGAGCATCGATGATGCACCGCGTTCGGAATATCCAAAAACGGTAGTGACTTAGGAAAACATCGATGAAGTCATGGACATGGTTTTGAATGACCGCCGATTAAAATTGCGTGAAATTGCAAAAGCTATAGGCATCTCGAGTGGCCGTGTATTTCATATTTTACACGAAGAATTGAATATGAAAAAATCCTCCGCAAAATGGGTGCCGCGTTTGCTCACTCTAGAGCAAAAACGCATACGAGTTCAATCATCACTACAACGTCTGGAACTGTTGAAGAAAAATCCGGTGGATTTTATGCGACAATTTGTGACTATAGATGAGATTTGGATCCACCACTACACACCAGAAACAAAAATTCAATCAAAACGATGGATAGAAGGCCGTAAACGCGAGTACTTTAAAAACTTCAAAAAAAAATCATTTTAAGGAGGGAATTGAAAAGCTGGAGAAACGTAAGGCTCAGTGCGCTGAGCTTCGAGAGGATTATGTAAAAAAATAAAATATAACTTGAACTTTTTTAAAACCATTGTGTGTTATTTTGAAACAAGTTACTTTTCGATCCACCCTTGTATATATATTAATTTATATAT